ACATTGCGGGGCCAGCGTGACGTCGTAACGCCTGGAATGTGTGATGGGGTGAACGAAGAGGGCTTCCTGTTGAGTCATGGCATGTCCATGCCACTTCTGTATGATACCGTACGCTGTTATGTTCGGCTTTGTCTCGCTAAATTGTATGTCATCCAATTCTGTACTGTTCTTGACAGACCGGAGTGGCGCCGTGACCCTTGTCACGTGTGATGCATCCCGAATTCTGCTCTGCTCATTTCTACTCTCCTGTACTTATACTCTACAAAACATGCGTATGGTATGTTATCGTCCATGGTTGGTTCTTGTTCCCAAAGCAATGCTTGCCCTTAAAGGCTAATACTTGTCTTTCAAGGCGGCTGAACTCTGGTGGCGATACAGCCGGCTCGTCGCCGCCAGTCGCCGTCTGTCGCCGCCGTCGCCTCTTGGCCCTGGTGGCAATCTGGCCAGCTCGTCGCCGCTCGTCGCCGTCGTCCGTCGCCACCATCATTGCAATCGCACTGCCTCCTTGCAATCGGATTGCGCTGCATTGCAATATCATTGCAGTGCATTGCGATACATAGCTTTGCAATAACGTTGCATTGCAATTGCACTGCTCAGCATTGCCTTTCAATCGCTTTGCATTGCAATCACATTGCACTGCATTGCCATTGCAGTGCGACGATTTGCATCACATTGCATTGTTTTGCGTTGCCTTGCATTGCTCTGTATTGCTTTGCGTTGCGTTGCATGGCTTGTGTTACTTTTCACGTTTTGCGTTGCAGTGCTTTGTGTTCCGTTGTGTTGTTTTGCTTTGCGTTGCTTTGTATTGCTTAGCGTTGCTTTTCATTGCTTTGCATTGCTTTGCTCTGGTTTGCCTTGCTGTGTGTTGCGTTGCATTGCTTTGCTCTGCTTGGCTTTGCTTTACATTGCTGTGCGCCACATAAACTGCACCACCTGCATTCCACCACCTAGATTGCACCAACTAGAATCCCCAAACAAAACTTGCTCTTTGGGGTTCTGACTCTGGTGGCGATGCGGCCGGCTCGCCGCCACCCGTCGCCACCGTCCGTCGCCACCGACATTGCAATCTGATTTCATCGCAATCGCATTGCATTGCAATCACCTTGCGTAGTAATGCTGCGCATGGCAACAGCATTGCATTGAAATCGCATTGCTATGCAATCGCATTGCATTTCAATCGAATGGCATTGAATTGCGTTGCTTTGCCTTGCAGTGCTTTGCATTGGCTTGCACTTCTTTGCGTTGCGTTACATGGCATTGCTTTGCGCTGCTTTGAACTGCGTTGCGTTACTTTGCGTTGTGTTGCATAGCTTTGCATTGCAACGCCAATGTGAAACAATGTAGAGCAATGCAAAACAATCCAACAAACCAGCGCAACGCAATTCACTGCGATACAAAGCAAAGCATAGTTTCAAAACAATGCGGACCAACTGCAATGCAGAGTTATGTTGAGTCATGCGCAGCAATGCGCAGCAGTGCAAAGCAATGCGCAGCAATGCGCAGCAATGCACAGCAATGCAAAGCAGTGCAAAGCAATGCAACGCCATGCAAAGCATTGAAAAACAATGAAAAGTAATGCAAACCGATGCAAACCAATGCGAAGCAATTCGAAGCACCGCAACGCAACGCAATGCAAAGCAGTGTAAAGCAACACGACGCCACGCAAGAACGAGCAACGCAACGCAAAGCAGTGCAAAACAGTGCGATGCAATGCGATGCAAAGCGATGCAGCGCAATGCGAAGCGAGGCAAAACATCTCAAAGTCACGCAACGCAACGCAACGCAATGCAGGGCAATGCAAAACAACGCAGAACAACGCGGCGACGGGCGGCAACGAGCCGGCCAGACCGCCACTGAGGCTCAACGGCGACGGGCGGCGGCGGTCGGCGACGAGCTGGCACGACCGCCACAAAAGTCCTGCGCGGACGGGCGGCGACGGACGGCGACGGGCGGCGACGAGCGGCGACAAGCCGGCCGGACCGCCACCAAACACAAAAAAAGTGACCCCTCCCTAGATGAAAGCACCGTTTGTAGAGCATTGACTGGCATATTCTGCTTTGGTGTAGTGTGTGTAATGTTGCAGCATATTGCGTATGAAATGGCGATGAGTAAAACAAGGTTTGGGACACGATGAACTTATCCTGGCGAAGGACCCAACCATATGCACTTGTGAGTGCCGCGTTGTGGGCACCGCTCTCGGTGGAGCTCCCTACGGGGACACGACCCTCGGGGGGACGCATGCGGACCCTGCTGCCAGGGCCTTCGGTGGAGCTCCCTACGGGGACACGATCCTCGTGAGGGGCCTGCCGAGATGGGCGGGGGGACGCATGCGGACCCTGCCGCGGGGGCCTTCGGTGGAGCTCCCTATTGGGGCCACGATCCTCGTGAGGGGTGTGCCGAAATGGGCGGGGGGGACGCATGCGGACCCTGCCGCTGGGGCCTTCGGTGGAGCTCCACGATCCTCGTGAGGGGTGTGCCGAAATGAGCGGGGGGACGCATGCGGACCCTGCCGCTGGGGCCTTCGGTGGAGCTTTCTACTGGGGCACGATCCTCGTGAGCGGGGGGACGCATGCGGACCCTGCCGCTGGGGCCTTCGGTGGAGCTCCCTATGGGGCCACGATCCTCGTGAGGGGCGTGCCGAAATGGGGGGGACGCATGCGGACCCTGCCGCTGGAGCCTTCGGTGGAGCTCCCTACGGGGACACACCCCTCGTGAGGGGTGTGCCGAGATGGGCGGGGGGACGCACGCGGACCCTGCCGCTGGGGCCTTCGGTGGAGCTCCCTACGGGGACACAATCCTTGTCAGTGGCCTGCCGAGATGGGCGGGGGGACGCATGCGGACTCTGCCGCTGGGGCCTTCGGTGGAGCTCCCTATGGGGCCACGATCCTCGTGAGGGGTGTGCCGAAATGAGCGAGGGGACGCATGCTGACCCTGCCGCTGGGGCCTTCGGTGGAGCTCCCTACGGGGACACGATCCTCGTGAGAGGTGTGCCGAAATGAGCGGGGGGACGCATGCGGACCCTGCCGCTGGGGCCTTCGGTGGAGCTTTCTACTGGGGCACGATCCTCGTGAGCGGGGGGACGCTTGCGGACCCTGCCGCGGGGGCCTTCGGTGGAGCTCCCTACGGGGACACGATCCTCGTGAGGGGTGTGCCGAAATGAGCGGGGGGGACGCATGCGGACCCTGCCGCTGGGGCCTTCGGTGGAGCTCCCTATGGGGCCACGATCCTCGTGAGGGGTGTGCCGAAATGAGCGGGGGGACGCATGCGGACCCTGCCGCTGGGGCCTTCTGTGGAGCTCCCTACGGGGACACGATCCTCGTGAGAGGTGTGCCGAAATGGGCGGGGGAACGCACGCGGACCCTGCCGCTGGGGCCTTCGGTGGAGCTCCCTATGGGGCCACGATCCTCGTGAGGGGTGTGCCGAAATGAGCGGGGGGACGCATGCGGACCCTGCTGCTGGGGCCTTCGGTGTTTCTCCCTACGGGGACACGATCCTCGAGAGGGGTCTGCCCGCGGGGGGACTCGTGCGGACCCTGCCGCTGGGGCCTCCGGTGGAGCTCCCTGTGTGCCAGAATGGGATGGGCCTGCGGAGAGCAGAGGCAAGGGATGGCATGAGGGAGGGGGAGGGGGCAGCGGGAGGTGAGGTGAGGTGACGCGGGGCGCTATCTCTTCAAAACGAAGACCCAACACCACAAATGCTTGGGAAAACAATTTCCGAATCTCCGGCTTCCGCTTCGCTTCGACTCCATCTGGCTCGACCGTCCAGCCGCGCGCCCGAGGAGGCCGCGGGCGAGCGACTGTAAAGATAGTTTCCCATGCCGAGGCCAATTAACCAGTCATCATCCTGGGCGCCGCTGCGAGAACACGGCCCCCGGCAATTTCTTGATCATCATCCTGCATTGCATCACGCGCTGAACAAACTTGTTACGGGCTATTGCCTTCGATGCTACTGTTGTCGACTCTTGCATGATAGATTATGGTATGCTGGGTTCTCAGTATGCTATCTTCACGTCTGTTATATCCTGGTCTGTTATACTTACGGACCAGAATTGGATCTATGCGGGATCCCCGTTGGTCCTGGGGATCTTGCGGCTGTGGTATGTGGCGGCCCAGACAACGATCCCCGCGTGACCACTCGGGGTCCTGGGGAGTTGACGGCCGCGGCATGTGGCGGCCCACAGCAGAAAGGATCCCCGTGGGACCACTAGTTGTCCTGGGGATCTGGCGGCCACGGTAAGCAGAGTGGGATGGTTGAGAGGTCACAACGCTTCGGGTGGATAATGAGCTTTCGAAGCTCCGCACGGACTTCTGGGATCGGCGCCGGGCTCTCTCCCTTTGCGCGCGGAGCGCACCAGGGGCGGCGCCGGAGGCGCAGCCGGGGCGGCCACGGCGCAAACTTCAAAGAAATCCGCGCGGAGCTCCGAAAGCAGGTTTATGCCGTCTTCCTTTTTCGGGTACCCTCCGACCACTAGACGCCTCCCAGATGGGGTCGGAGAGTCGCGCCGCATCGCCGATGCTGTGGCGATGCAATGGCGACGGCGTCGATGCATCGGCGACGTCGGCAGGCTCCACATCGAGCCGCATCGCCAATACATCGGATATGCGGAGCAAGCCCACGATAGAGGAACAACAAGTTAAATGAACATAAACAGAACCTGTCGGAGGTCCACGCGGATTTCTTGGATCGGCGTTGGACCCCCTCCGGCGCTGTCCCTGGCGCGCTCCGTGCGCCAGGGAGGGGAGTCCAGCGCAGAACCCAGAAATCCGCGCGGACCTCCGAAAAGCTATGCATATGCCGTATTTCGATTTTTCGACTCCACCCGGACTCCATCCTGGCCATCGCTCGGACGTCCATTCCCTGTATTTTTTTCGGTTTCGTGCGTGGTTTTTTCGCCAAATAATCAAAGATACTCCTTGATGGTCCTCGCCCACGAAAAAATGCACACGTCCGAGCGATGCCAAGCACCTTGGCCCTGCTCCACCAGTGGGCCCTTTTACCGCCACCCGGCGCCCCGTCGCGCGAGCGCCGGCACGGACAGGCGGCGGGCGGGGCAGGCGAAGCGCAGCTCCGGCACTGCCCCTCTCCGCGCACAGCCCCTCCGCCTCCAGGGGAAGAAGACCTGCACAAGCATCCCCTCACCTCCCCTCGTCTCGGCGGCGAGCCCAGGGGGGAAATCAGAGGGGGCGGGCCTTTTCAGAAGGCTCGGAAGGCCTCGTGCCTTCTGGGACGACTTCTAAGCCTTCCTCGAAAACGTACTGAAACGGCCTCTCAAACAGCTACAAATTTTCCGATAAACCCCGACGCCTTCTGAGACAACCTCCGCCCTGTCACTCCCCCCTTCTGGGCGAGCAGATGCAACGTCTGACGGTTTTTCTTAAATTTTCGGGCTCCAGGGGTCCTCGCCAGGTCGCAAGTTTGTCAAATCCGCCTGCCCCCTTGTGGGGCCACCAGGCTGTAGGCCGAAGTGTGCTGCTCCCTGCGCCACTTGCAATTTCAAGTATCCAATGTGAAGTCCTGCTCTGCTTGCTACTGTGATTCGTGGACGTCCTCACGAAAAGGGGGAACCCCAAACCGCTTAATTAACCACGCCCGAATCGCGCGCTCTGTATTCCCAGGGGGGCGTTGGACATGTAAATATACATGAGCGTCGCGCCCCCGATACCATAATCCCTCGTACAGTACGCGATGCTCGCGTCCCCGAAGCCACACATCCTCGCGAATTCTAAATTCCTTGCGTCCCCGAGGCAACAAACCCTCGTAAACCATGCGATGCTCGCGTCCCTGAAGCAATGCACCTTCGCAAATTACCATGTCTTCGCACTGCCGAGGCCAAGAGCGCTTCAAGGCGCACGAAGATGACTCTAAGACGACCCAGCAGGGCCCAAAGATGCACCCAAAAAACAAAAGTCGTAGATTTCACAGAAAGGTTTTTGAAGGATGTTGGCCTTCTCGCGCGTTCGGCTTTGCAGCGCTCCAAGGCGACTCGAAAACCTCTCAGGACCGCCTCGAGACAACGCAAGACGCCTCCAAGGCTCTGCCCCAGGGGCCCAGCACGTCCCCCAGGTCTCTGTCGAGGCACCAGCCGCGCGGGGATTGAGGGTCAGTCGAGGAAGTGCGTGGGGGGTGGTCGCCTGCTCCTGCTCGTCTGGCGCCCCTCGTCAGCGAGCGGGCAGCCCGCGCTCGTGCCAGGACAGCCGGTGACGGCTGACGGCGCAGAGGAGCCTCGCACGCTCCAGGACAACGGCCGCGCGGCGCCGCCCTCCCCCCTCCCCCGCAGGGGGGCCGTCATCTCCAAACGCGCGTCTGATCGTCGCAAGTGTCCATTGCGAGTCCCTCCCAAGTAGGCGACTGATCGCCGCGTGTGTCCTGTGTGAGTCTTCCCCGGGAAGGCGACTGATCGTTGCAAATCTACCCTGACAAACGGGGGTGAGGGGGGGCCTCGTCTCCAGGTCGGCGACTGATCGTCGCTAGTGTCCTCTGTGTGTCTTCCCCAGGTAGGCAACTGATCGTCGCATATTTACTCCTAGAAACAATCGGCGGGGGGGGGAGGGAGGGGGGGCGTCGTCTCCACGCAGGCGACTGATCGTCGCAAATATTCTCTGTGAATCATCCCCAGGAGGGCGACTGGCCGTCTCATGATGCACGAGGTCAGTGCCAAGCCATCCAGGTCCTGACGGCCCTGGCGGCACGGTCGGCCCAGCGAGCGGATTGCGCGTCTCTCCGCCTGGCGGCATAGGAGGCCAGCAAAGAGCTCGGGGCGTAGAGAGGAGCAGGAGGCCGTAGAGCTTCGAAACACACTTCCCGCCCAGTAGTTGCAACCTGCTGGCCCAATGCCTAAGCGAGACGCATGCATTGACTGCGGCGGGCTGCCCGGACTGGGATGGCCTCGGCGCCTTCGCGGCCCTGCTGGCTATGCCAATCGTGACTGCGCCAACTTCGCTGAGTATCACCCAGGGGGCCGCGCCGCGCTGACTATGCCAACCATGACTGCGACAACCTCGTTGCTGCTGCAACTCCGACCGAGCCCCGCCTGGATGCCGCGCGCCCATCTCAGAAATGCGGGCGTGGAAGAGGGAAGCGATAACGAACGTAGTAGGGGTAGACGCGGCAAGGGCAGCGGCCCCCTGCCGGCCCGCGGCTTGGCCCAGAGCGACCTGGGCCAGATGCGTGCGGACTTGAGCCGGCGGCTGCGGGCGCTGGTGGGGCTGCGCGAAGCGTCAACAATGTTGAGACCGCCCCCGTGCTGTTCGGAGAGCGCGTTGAAGCCGGCCGGGGCTGCGCGGAGGCTGCCGCGTGCAGCTGGGAGCCTTGCCAACGTCGGAAATCCGTATTCCCCGACGCCCCCCCTCTTCAGCAAGGGGCACTGGACCCCATGGGGGCCCCCGTCAATGCCGAATTTCAACTCTGAACAAATGTTTCCCCACATCCGGTGGACGGGGTTCTTGTTATTACTTTGACCGCGCGGAGAGCGAAGAACGCCTCCCACCTTCGAGTCATCGTTCTCTGGCTCCCTCGCATGCGCTCGCTCTTAGATTCCCGATGCTCAGGTTTCTCATGCTCGGGGTCACGCATATGCAGACTCACTCGCAGTCCTGGTACCTCCGCGCTCAGACCCACGAGCGAGCGGCGAGGATGCCTCGGGCGAGGCGCTGGTTTCAGCGCTCCCAAGGGGGGCGCCAGGGGGTGCGTCGCAGGCCCGTTCGCGCCCGCATCGGGGGGGCGTCTCGGGCGATTTGCCTGTTCCAGTTCTCAACATCTTTCTCTTTCGGAGCAGTTTCCGGGGATGTCCCAGGCGAGGCGCTGGTTTCGGCGCTTCCAGGGGGGGCGCCAGAGGGCGGGGGCGTCGCGGGCCCTTTCGCGCCCAGATTGACGGGGTGTCTCGAGCGATTTGCCTGTTCGGGCGCTCGGCATCCTTCTCGTTCGGGGCAGTTTCCGAGGGTGCCTCGAGCGAGGCGCTGGTTTCAACGCTTCCAAGGGGGGCGCCGAGGGGCGCGTCGCGGGCCCGTTCGCGCCCCGCATGGAGGGGTCTCAGACGGCGCGTCCGCCCGGGTGCTCAACGCCCTTCTCTTTCGGAGCAGTTTCCGAGGATGTCTCAGGCGAGGCGCTGGTACCAGCGCTTCCAGGGGGGACGCCAGGGGGGCGCCGGAGGGTGCCCCGCGGGCCCGCTCGCGCCCAGTTTTGGGGGGCGGCGCGTCGGGCGGTCTGCCCGTTCGGGTGCTCAGCGCCCATATCTTTCGTAGCAGTTCCCGAGGGTGTCTCAGGCGAGGCGCTGGTTTCAAAGCTTCCCGCGGGGGGTGCGCCAGGGGGGGTGCGCGCGGGCCCGTTCGCGCCCAGCTTGGGGGGGGGGCGTCTCGGACGGTCTGCCCGCGCGGGCGCTCTGCGCCTTACTCTTTCGGAGCAGTTTCCGAGGGTGTCTCAGGCGAGGCGCTGGCTTCAGCGCTTCCAAGGCGGGGCGCCGCCGGAGGGTGCGCCGCAGGCCTGTTCGCGCCGAGATTGGGGGGTCTCGAGCAATTTGCCTGTTCGGGCGCACGGCGCCCTTCTCCTTCGGAACAGTTTCTGGACGCGTCCCGAGGGGGGCCGCCAGGGGGCGCCTCGCGGGCCCGTTCGGGCCCAGATAAGGGAGGGTGTCTCAAGCGATTTGCCTGTTTGGGTGCCCAAATCGGCGCTCCCGGGATGCCTCTTCGCCGCGGCTGGGTCTGCCTCGGAATGCGTCCGACGCGCGCCTTGGGACGGCTTGGTTTCGCGAACGATGGCTTGCGCGCGGCGAGGGCCACTCCTTCGCGCGACGCGACTTCTTCGCTCAGCGGAGACGTTGCCCCGCCCCCGCCCCCCCTGTCTCCGTGAAGGTATGGGCGCGGGCGACGGCTCCACGAGGCGCGAGTTCGCTTGCTCCGCGGGGCCCTCGCTCGCGGTGGTCTGGCGCGTGTGAAATGGTTTCTGTCGGACGCTTCGCCTCCGCGCGACGCAATGGCGCTCCGCGGAGACGCGGCGTCCACGCTTGTATCCGAGCGCGCCTGCGTGGGTCACTGTTTCACGCGAAGCGGGTGCGCCTGCTCCGTGGTCCCGCCCCCCGCGCACTGTGGAACATTATTCGGTGTCCGGTGCGCTGTGGACTGTTTCGCGCGACGCGGGTTCGCGTGCTCCGCGGGCCCGTCTTCTGCGCGTGACCAGGTGCTCGCATCGCGTCGTCTAGCACTGGCCAGCGTGTCGGTGTCCATCGGGGCTGCTTCTTACCCTTCGCGGCCTCCTTGGGGTCGTCATTGCCGCTGTCGTCCGAGACATCCTCGCAATTCGTCGCTTCCTTGCATATGGCATATGGCTTTTTTCCTGCAATTTTGATACCGAATGTTGCCTCTGTTTATGTGGCTAGGCGTTTTCGCATGAGATATCCTCTCGTATTTGACTGCCGAAATGCGTTGCCCATGGTGGTCGGGGGAGTTTGCTGCACATGTCGGAACTCGGGCTTCCAACAAGCTCTAAGCCGCGATGCTCAGCCCATGTTCGCCTGAGCCATCCTCGTAACTCTCGGCTCCGTCACCCCCGATCTGAGGCCTAGGGTTGCAGGACTTGGCCACAGCTTCCTTCGAATCTGATTGGGGAAGTATGAGGCGGGAGCCTCTCCTGTGAGCGAATCGCCGGTCGCCTCGTCAAAACTGGTCGCTGGAATACTTGTTACTGCCACTGGCCCGCCGACGACGACGACGACGACGACGACGACGAGACAGCGGCCGGGGGCAGGGGTAACCTCTCGTGTCTGGGCCCTATGGCCGAATCGGGGGCCAGGGTAACCCTTTGTCTCCGGGCCGCCGGTGGTAACCCATCGGCGGTCGAATCGGGCGCAGGGGGAGACCCTTGCGTCCAGGCCGGGGGTGGTGGTAACCCATCCCCGGCCGACTCTTTACATGTGTGTATTCGTTGATCAGGAACGTTTCCAAACACTTCATTCTTTCCTTGTGAAGAAGGGGGCACTGGCGCGAATTTGTTGTTCATAATTTTCGGTTCGGTTTGCGGAATTCCTAAGGAGATTTAGGTCGAAGCTGTGCGCGGATTCGCGCGTCCACGAATTCCTAAACCGTGAACGCATGTTTTTCGGAGCGACCTGTTTTTGACGGAAATTCTGGCCCCGGGTAATGGTTTTTGGTTCCCGGGGCGTGTCTCCCGAGAGGAACAAATAGGCCGCCGGTGGTAACCCATCGGCGGCCGAATCGGGCGCGGGGGGAGACCCTTGTGTCCGGGCCGGGGCTGGTAACCCGTCCTCGGCCGAATTCTGGATGAGATGTTTGGTCCCAGGGCGCGTTTTTCCCCAATCCTCAGGATGGGGTGACTCACTCAGATGTAGTCTCATTCATATTCAGACTCACTCATACTCAGATGTAATCGCCCTGATACGAATGATACTTAAGTTTCTCATGTTCGGGGTCACTCATATACAGACTCACTCGCACTTCGAGTCGCTTGCCAGACTCAAGGTTAATCATACTCAGGTCACTCACGCACACACACACTCACACTCGCTCGGACTCGTACTCAGACACACTCGCACCCAGACTGACTCACACTAAGACTCACTCATACTCTCTCGCTCTTACTCACTCTGGCTCAGCTATACCACTTCCGCGCCCAGGTTCAAACACACGTTGTGATGATGATGCCTCAGGCGAGGCGCTGGTTTCAGCAGTCCCAAGGGGGGCCGCCAGGGGGCATCTGACGGGCCCGTTCGCGCCCAGATTGGGGGGGATGTCTCAGGCGGTTTGCCTGTTTGGGTGCTCAACATCCTTCTCTTTGGGAGCAGTTTTCGGCGCCCTGATAGGTGCTCAGTGGAAAAGAAGAAGAAGAAAGAGGAGGAAGACAATGAGGAGGAGGAGGAAAGAAGGAGGAAGCAACTAGCTAAAGTCAGTATAGTCGTCGGCGTCTCTCTAGGCTTCGTCTTCCACGCGAACTCGCTGACACTCAGATATTCAAAAAGGACAGTGCCTTCGACCGAAGCGTGCCATCACTATGAGATGCACAGGTTGGGGTCTCCGCGTCGAGCAATTTGCTGTCCTGGGGCCCGTGGAGGGCCCCGAGAACCCAAATTTCCCAAAAAGCCTTGAGGCCCGTTCCCCTCAGAACATGTTTCCTTCACGGCGAATGGTCCTTGACGTTGCCCTGCGTATCCAGGTGGCGACATCCGAACCCTACCCCCACCAACAATCGATTCTCCTGAATCGATGTGAGGCGGGGGTAGGGATTGTCTCGTGTTAGATGTATTCCGAACCCCGCCCCCTGCCGCCCATCGAATTGCCTAAATCGTTGATGGGCGAGAGTGAGGTCCAAATTTTGTTCGGAAGCCATGTAGGACCGTAGACGGATCTACCCTTTCTCTGACCTTGTACTGCGCCGATCGCAACGGCCGCGTTGCCTATAGACGTATACGCCCAATGTGTCCATAGACGCTTTAAGCTAGAAGCTGAAACGTGAAAACGGTATCTGGCACATTCCCCAGATGTTGTTCTAGAAGCAAGGAGACCTTGCCTTCCAAGATTTCGCCGCCGATTATCGGCCCCGCCCCCCGCCCAAAGCCCGCGTCCCCGCGGCCTCGGGCGACTGGGCCTGCGGCTTCCTAGCGCGCTCCGGCATTTCCCGCGGGCCGCCCAGAGCCTGCCGCCGGTCGGTGCGTCAGCGTGCCCTGCGCGCGGGGGGGGGGGTCGGAGCGGCGCGGCCAACGAATGCCGAACGACGACAGGACGACGAAGAAGCCCGGAGGTCCTGGCGTTGCGCGCTCCGGGGCCCACGACGGACCGATCCGGCGCATGGGATGGCGCAGGAAGGTGGGGGCCCAGCGTCCCGATCGTGGCTTTTCGCGGTGCCGTGCAGCGCCGGACCTCGGGGGAGGGTGCACTCGAAACGTGGCCGCGGTGACGCGGAGAAGAGCGTGAGCCCCTTCGCCGAAGCCCGAAGGCACCACGGCCAGACCCAAGGCAAGGAGCACTCCGAAGGGGAGATCGCCCCAGACATCCGCATGACAACGTGTCGGCCCTGCAGTTCGTGGGCGTGCCGTTCGCATCGCGAGCCACGTGCAACACGCACCGACAAGCAGAGACAGCGATGCCAACGCATATGCAGTGCAGGGCTATGAACCTGGCAGCGCAGTTATCAAGGGGAGCGTATCCAGAACAAGGCTTCAAGACTGCCCCAGAAATACCGACGACGGTCCAAGAGGCTTCCTAGATGGTTTCCGACGGCTCCAGAACAGCCCGAAGAAGCGTCCAGAATCGGAACCCCTAGCATTACTTCGATCGTCCGGCCCACGACGCCCCTGCTGCTGCTGCTGCTCTTGCTGTTGCTGCTTCTTCTTCGCAACAACACCGTCCGTAGACATTCGTCTCAAGTTCTCTGCAAATCCAGCGTAGCGTTCCGCACCAGCGGTCGGATTGCAATCCAAGAAGGAATTCAATACTAGTGGTCGATCCCTGCGCTATGGGAACATATATTCTCAGGAAGCACCTGCTTGAAGCTGCAAGCTTGTGACTCTGAGGAACCATGTGCTACGGCCCAGATCATGAAACTTTTCGCTGTGATACCATCTCACTCCATATTCGAGGGTTCAGGTCTTTCCCACCTCGATCGGGTGCGGCGAGATCACCGGTGCACGGTCACCGGCGATACGCGTGATTTACCGCATGATGTTCCAGACCCATTTGCAGCACTGCATCAATGATATCATTTTTAGAATACAGCCTTTCCATGGTCGTACTCGTAAGCGCGGTTCCACCCACGCCGACATGTAGGATAACCTGGACGCCGATTTCTGCAACCGCGCCCCCAACAGCGCAAGGGTTTTCGCTAGGTGCGCCAGCCATGAGACCGACACCACTTGGGGTTTTCGTTTCGCGTCAAAATCTTCCGCGAAGGCGATCATGCAACGTAGCTATTGTATCAAATCGTTGCAGCATTGCTACATACTGTGTTGTGGAAGGTGCGCCGCTGGATCTCCCCAAAGGGGGTGGGTGGGACCCCCCCCCCTTTCACCGATCCGTCGTCGGGAAACACTCCCCCCCCCTTTTCCCGATCCGCCGTCGGGGACCCCCCCCCTTTCCCCCCCCCCTTTCCCGATCCGTCGTCGGGAACTCCCCCCCATTCCCCCCCTTTCAAACGGAAGGGGGGGGGGTCCGACCCCCCCCCTTCACCCCCTTCGGCCGCCAAATTCGAACTCCCCTCCCTACCCTCCTTTCGCCACGGCGCCCCCTGGCTCCGGAACCCGACCCCTACCACCCCGAACGCTAATCCTCACCCTTACCCTCCTCACCCCTAACCCTAACCCGAAACCCTAACTGTAGCCCCAAGCAGTAGTCACTACTCATTACGCACCTCTCACTACCCACTACTCACTACTCGCTACTCACTACTCACTCCTCACAACTCAGTACTCACTACTCACTACTCACGACTCACTACTCACTACCCACTACCCACTAAACACCACCCACTACCCACTACTCAAATTCCCTACTCCCTACTGACTGCTCACTACTCACTATCCGATACTCATTACTTACTAAACACAACTACAACTAACGACCCACTACTCACTGACCAGTATCACTACTCACTACCCACTGACCAGTATCCACGACTCACTACTCAAACTTCACTACTCACCAGTCATTGCCCACAACTCACTCTTCAGGATCCACTACTCCCTACTCGCTACTCCCTACCCCCTACACAGTACTCACTACTCACTATTGGCTACTCCCACGCTACTCGCTACCCAAGACGAACCATTCACTACCCAGTACTCAATACTCACTACGCTCCCACTACTCACGAACCACTACTCTCAACTCACTGCTCCCAACTCACTAGTCCCTCCTCACTACGGAGTACTCAGTACTCACTAGTCACTAAACACGACTCGCTGCCCACTACTCACAGCTCACTACTCACTACTCACTACACGCTAACCACGACTCACTACTGAGTACTCACAGGCCACTACTCATTACTCACTGCCCACAACCCACTACTCACTATCCGCTGCTCGCTACGCGCTACTCCCTACTCCCTGCATAGTACTCATTGCTCACTACTCAGTACCCACTACTCGCTACTCCCTACCCGCTACCCAATACGCAATATTCACTACCCACTACGCACTACGCACTACTCACTGCTCCCTACCCCTTACTCACTAACCACTAGTCACAAGTCGCTACACACTGCTCACTATTCAGTATTCACTACGCACTACCCACGACCCGCTACTCACTATTCACTACGCGCTACTCCTTACGCACTACGCACTACCAACTACTCAATACCCACTTCTCACTTCTCACTACTCACTGCTCCGTACTCACTACTGACTACTCACTACTCGATACTCCCTTCTCGCTACTCACTACTGACTACTCCCTCCTCACTACTCACTACCCACAATGCTCTATTCGCGACTCACTATTCACTATTCGCTACTCCCTACTCGTTACTCGATACCCCCTACCTCCTCACTCCCCACTCCCCACTCCCCACTACTCACTACTCACTACTCACTACTCACTACTCACTGCTCACTACTCACTCCTCACTACTCGCTACTACCTACACACTACTCACTATTCACTACCCACTACTCTCTACTCACTATCCCGAGGCCAGGACCCCCCCCTTTGCGGGAGAGGCCCTCTCCTCAGCCCCCTGTTCGGCGCAAAGGGTGGGAGGGGGGGGGGGGAACACCCCTTTCCAGCGCCAGGGAGGGCAGGGGAGGGAGTCTGGACCCCCTCCCCCTTCAAGGGGGTGGGTGGCGCGGGTGTGGGGGGGGGTCGGACCCCTTTTGGGCTTCGTAATCTCCAAGAATCGGCAGGAAAAAAACTATGATTTGGGCCCCTGGGGCCTCTTTGGGGTCCAAGAGTGCAAGGCGGCTCGAGATGGCCTCAAGATGGGCCAAGACGACCCCAAGAGGGTCCAAGATGGCTCCAAAAGGGCCCAACAAGGTTCCAAGAAGGCCCAACCGGCCCCCAAGAGGACCACGAAGAGCACCGTCAGAGGACAAAATCATTGGTTTTCCATTGGTTGTTGAAGCATGTTACGTAGCGTTCTCGCCTTTTTCGACTCACAGGGGCCCATGACGGCCCAATCAGCCTCCAAAATGGCCCCAACACGACCCAAGAAGCCCCCAAGAGGACCCCAAGACGGCCCAAGAGGGCCCCAAGACAGCCTAAAGACGCCCTCAAGACTGCCTTCGAGGCTCCCAAGACGGCCCAAGGGGACCCCCAAAGAGCCCCAAGGCGGCTGCGAGAGGCCCACAGGACGGCCTCCCGAGGGGTCAAACCGCGCAAGAGCGCCTCAAGACGGCCCCTGAAGAACCCCCCAGAGGTTCCCAACGGGGCCTCCAAGAGGCCCCGAAGAGGCTCCCACCAGGCCCCGCAACGACCGAATTGCACTCTCCAGACGTGCACCCCGCGAAGCGAAAAGAACCAAGGCGAACATACCAGAATTCCTAGAACGCCGCAGCGGGGAAATCTGCCTAGACGCGAACAACACGAAGGTACCCTTTGGGAGACGAGTGTGGTTCTGAACCCTCTTGCCAACTGTAGTGGAGCGACGACGGGACACGACAGTGCCCGGAAGGCCCCACCAGACCGCAAGCAGGCCACAAGGAGCTTCCAAGAACCCCCCCCCAGGAGCCCCCTGCGTGGCTAAAAAACAACAGCCAAGTCATCACATCGCTTGAAATGTGTTTTGCCTAATTGAGTCGATCAGGGGGCCTCAAATGGTCCACAAGAATGTCCGAGATTGCCTCGGAAGGGCCACGAGACGGCCCAAGACATCATCAAGACTGCCCATGGCGCCCCCGAGAAGGGGACCTCAAATGGACCACGACCAGGCCAATGCAGCTAATGCAACCCCACGTTGGCTTCCAAACAACTCCCCTCGGACGCCCGAATGCGCAGACTGCCCCAAGAACGCCCAGGACGGCCTGACAGACCCCAGCAAGCCCTCAGAAAAACGTTGCTAGTGCCGAGCATTGCCAGCCCGAAGAACTGCAAACCGCACCAGGCGGCACCCCAGCTGTACAGGAAGCCCCGGGAGACCCAACATTTGCTCGACAGGCCCCTCGAGACGACCAGCTAGCCCAGCCTTCCACACGGCGTCCTCCAAACATCCCAAGGCGAGCCCGAGATGGCCCAACATACGTTCCCAATTGCTGCAAACTTACCCAAGACGGATAAGCACTCCCAGAAACGGGCCCAATATCCCCCCCTGGACCTGCCCTCTGACCACCTTGAAGGTCCCCGATAGCCGAGGACTCCATGAGGCCCCCACAGGAGCCCCCAGAGAGGTATCACGACAACCATCGCCATGCCACGCTAGAGCGCTTCTTCGAAAGTCACTCAAGCGCGTGAGCGGGATGCATTGCGCTGATGGGTCTCAAGTGCCCCATCAAGTTATGTTTCTTTGAATCGTTCTGCATCACCGCGCGCTACAGTGTATACAAATCGTGCAGCGGCTCCAACACAACAGAGCGGATCAGAGAGAAGGGCAATCCATGCGGTCGGCATGGGTGCTACGCTGCAATCTCAGACGACAAGACCAGACGCCGTCTCTTTCGATCCACTTTCTTCTCCCCTCTCCTCGTGCCCTCTCCCGTCCTCCGATGGCCTCTTGGTTCTGGCCACCACTCCTTCCATCGCAATAGCCATGCTGCTACCTGACCCGCTTGATCTGAGCTGCTGAGCTCCCTCCCAGGTTTCGTTGCCCTCTTGGTTGGGCTCGCCCCTTCCTCCACCCCATTCTCCTTCTTTCAAGAGACATGCAGAAGCATCTACGTAATCCCACCTGCCCTTTAAGGCGTAAGGTGGTCTAGAGAGTTTCCTCTTCCAACCCCCCTTTTCCCCTTCGGGGGGGGCTTGCCCGTCCCCCTATACCCCCTCCCCCGGGTCTGGACGGGGCCGGTCGCGAGGCGTCAGGGCGTCCAAAACGGCCTTGGCGAGGAAGGCGAAATCATTGGTTTTATGAAAATTTGGCCCCATTTGGACCTCTTGGGGGGGCAACCGTAATTGACGATCCCCCCTTCTTTCATGGATGTCCTCCAAGATGGCCCCACACAGCGCCCAACAGGCCCCAAGAGGCCCCAAGAAGATGGCCCGAAGATGGCCCCAAGGAGGAGGCCCCCAAGACAACCCCAAGCAGCCCCGAGAGGCCCCCTCGAGGTACCCCAGACGCCTAAGAGCCCCCAAGGACCGCCAAGAAACCCCAAAGAGGTCCTAAGAGGCGAGCACGACCGATCGCAACCACTTCGGACCGATCGTCGACCACCACGGACCGATCGGAAAACCAGTTGCGATCTGTCCGAAGTGGTTGCGATGTTTTTGGGTCGTTTCAAGAAGGTTCCGATTAAGGGGGAGATCATAAGAGCGCTTTTGTGTGCACTGAACTCCCTTAAGCCGCCCAATGGGAATCCGCCGACCCCTTGTGGGTCTCTAGGCGTGTGAAACTGTTCCCCCCCATTAATCCCCCCCCAAGGACCACAAACCGGGATTTTGACCCACCCCCCCCTGGCCCGGCCTGGCCCCGGACCGAACTCACCCGGGGCGGTCTGGGCTCCCTGGGCTCGCTCTTGAGCTGCGCGACAGCACTTGACGCCTCCCAAGAAGCCGCCAAGACGGCCCACGAGAACCCAAAGTCGCCGACAGATCGTTCCGAGACGCCCAAGATGAACTCAAAACGGCCCCACCCCACGAAGCCTCCAAGAGGCCTCCCAAAAAGCTCCCAAGAAACGAACATATTGAAATTTCCTTGGGAAAACGTGCGTTCTCAGCATATCCAACCTGTTAGCCTTGACGGCGTTGAAAACCGTCCACGAGGCCCCCACGAGGCCCCCGGGACCACCCCAAGACGGCCCACGAGGTTCCCAGAAGGCCCCAAAGACAACCCAAAATAAGTACAACGTGGCCCACGAGGCGCCCTGGACGGCCCAAGAGAGCTCCAAGACGGCTCCAAAAAAGGCCCAAGAGAGGGACCACGAGCCGCGAATTCCAGCGCTCCGCCCAACGAAGCTCTTCAGAGGACCCAAGAGGCCCCCAAGCGGCCCCAAGAGGCCCCCATGAGGCACCCAGGAGGCCCCAGGGAACCCCCAAGAGGCCCCAAAGAAGCCCCAAAACGGCCCCCAGGACCCCTTCGAAACTGCCTCGAAGAGGCCCGCGAGAATCCTCGCCTCCGGATCCCAGCGGACATCCCAGAGCGTGCCACGCACTACCCTGAACTTGACGCAATATTGCTACTGTTCCTTGCCCCAGCTTCGGAATTCGGCCCAAGAGGGGGCTCGTGGAATGCAGCCCTGGAGGCGCAGTAGTTTATAGAGGGGTCGGCGGATATGGCGTAAGCCTATAGAATCTGAAAAAACGGTTGCGATCGGTCTGATCACCGACGGCCGATCATGATCTCAGCTAGACACATGCACTTGAACTCGAACGTGGCCATGATCCGTACACGATTCTTATGTGATCCGTATACGGTTGAAACCGAAACTGAGCGAAGACAACCGGTGCGAAACAAATTGCATCTCAGGAGGGGGGGAGGAGGAGGAGGAGGAGGAGGAGGAGGAGGAGGAGGAGGAGAACGAGGAGGAGGAGGAGGAGGACGAGAACGAGGAGGACGAGGAAGAGGAGGAGGGAGGGAAGAGGAAGGGGGAAGGAGGAGGGGAGAAAGGGCAGGAGCAGGAGGGGCAGGAACAGGAGGAGGAAGAGGAGGAAGAACAGGAGGACAAGATGGCAAGGCGGGTAGACGCGCCGGCCCAGACCCCCAACGTCATTACTTTTCCGGAACGTCGACCCCCAGAGGTCTGGACGAATTCCCCAAGGGTAGGTTCATGCGGCGTCGGCGCTCGCCAGGCTGTTGGCACCGCGTCGATCGTTCAACCTGGAATCGATCGCGGCCCCGATTGTTCAAGGTTGTATTTCGTCGGGTACAATGGCCCCACCGTGTCCCTCGGTGCTTCCGCGTCGCAGAATGCAGCCTTGAACGCCTTCGCCAACGTCGCCCGCGTGCCAACGCCGCATGAACCTACAGTAGATCAGCATTGCATATTGAATCATTTTTTGGACGGCCCCTGGGCCCGGCGAGGGCTCCCCGAGCCCGAAACAAAAACAGATGTTGTCACGACGCCAGGCGGTCTGGGAGCAAGTAGCAGGGCTCAGCCAGCGGGAGTCGGCGTGCCCGGACACGACGAGGCGAAGCTGCATGTGCTGCCTTTTGCACTCAGCGCCGCGCGCCGCGGTGGCGGCCGGCCGGGTCGTGACGCTCGTTGCGATCCGAGATGGACTCAGAAGCCTCTCAGAAGCCTCTCACAAGCCTTTCAGAAGCTTTTCACAAACCCCTCTCAGAAGCCTCACAGATCCCCCCCAATCTGGGCGCGAAGCCTCTCAGAGAAGCATCTCAGAAGCGCCTCAGACAAGCCTCTCAGAAAAGCCTCTCAGAAGCGGCTCAGGGAAGCTTCTGACAGGTCTCAGAGAAGCCTCAGAGAAGCGTCTGGAAGGCTTCAGAGAAGCATCTGTGAAGGCTTCAGAGAAGCTTCTGAAAAGGCCTCGCTGAGGCCTCTCTGAGGCCCCAGAGAAGCCTCTCAGAGAAGCCTCTGAAAAAGGCATCCGAGAAGCTTCTGACAGACCTCAGGGAAGCATCTGAAACGCTTCAGAGAAGCCTCTGAAAAAAAAGGCTTCAGAGAAGCCTCTGAAAAAGGCTTCAGAGAAGCCTCTGAAAAGGCTTCAGAGAAGCATCAGAAAGGCTTCAGAGAAGCCTCTGAATGGCCTCGCTGAGGCCTCAGAGAAGCCTTTGAGAGAGAAGCCTCTGAAAGGCCTCAGAGAAGCATCTAAAAAAAGGCATCCGAGAAGCCTCTGAAAAGGCCTCGCTGAGGCCTCAGAGAAGCCTCTCAGAGAAGCCTCTGAAAAGCCTCAGAGAAGCCTCTGAAAGGCTTCAGAGAAGCATCTGGAAGGCTTCAGAGAAGCCTCTGAAAAGGCTTCAGAGCAGCCTCTGAAAAGGCCTCACTGAAACCTCTCAGAGGCCTCGCCTCTCAGAAGCCTCTCAGAGGCCTCGCTGGGAGCTCTGCAGAAGCTCTGGATCGGTTGCAATCCGGTGTTCTTCAGAAAGGTGTGTATAGGAATCCTTCAGTTTGCGATCAGTCCGCTTCCAGTTTTGTAATCCGACCGAAATGATTCCTGAACAATCCGAAGTGGTTGTAATTGGTCGTATTCCCGTCCCGCGAGCACCAAGAAGCGCCCAAGAGATATCCCGAGAGGCTCCGAGAGGCATCCAAGAGACCTCTGGCCCTTTTGCTTGCTCTCCTCCTCCTGGTCCTCCTTCCTCCTCATACTCCTTCTCTTCCGCCTCCCCCTCCTCCTCGTCCTCCTCCTCATCTTGTTCATCCTCCTTCTTCCCACTCCCTCATCCATCCATCCAACCTCCTCCTTTTCCTCCTCCCTCCTTCGCACGGTTCGGCCGTCCCCCTGTTTGCTCCAGCACTTCCCTTGTCACCTCAACTCGCGGGCCCGCCCCTTCCCCTCCACCTCCTCCTTCCTCCTTGAGCCTTTGAAGCGTTTGCTGTTGCCAGCTGTTGCCCTCCCCCTCCGCCTCCGCTTTGGCCTACCTCCATCTTGTGATGCTATGCCGTCATGGACACCGCGCTGCAATACATGACGACAAAACCATACGCCGCCTCTTTCGATCTCTGCTGCGACTACGATCTTCACGCCGTCGGCGGTCTCGGTCGCGGTCGTCAGAACCTCTCCGAACAGCGAAAACAACACGAAGGAAATGCTTGCTCTGTGGCGCAGGGCATCGAGCAGACGCAAATGACCCGTGCTCCAATAACGAATGACCGCATCATCATCGCGCGTGCTGCACACTTCGATCTGCGAAGATCCCACGTGCTACAACACGCATCAATAATACGCGTCAGCTCTTCACCCTGGGAAAGGAGACTATACACCACTATCCACTATCATGGACAGCCCACCAGCCCTCTGGGTGGAGGTGGTCTGAAGCGTGTCCAGTGCCAAACGCCTTCTTGACCTTCGGGGACAGATTGATCCATGCCCCTATCCCCTCCCCGTGGGTCTGGACGGGGGGGAGGGGGCGGGGAGCAGCCAGAGCGCCCAAAGTGCCAGCGAGATGGCCGTGGCGAGCCCGAGACTTGAGCTGGTGCAAAATACGCTGGCCCAGGATCGCTCAAGGTGGCTCCTGACACCCAACATGCTGCAGGAGCGCCCGGGATCCCTCCAAGACGGCTCCGCCCAACGCGCCCACCCTCGCAGCGCGGGGCGCCTGCGAGGCGCCCATGTGAGCGGGCAAAATTGAAGGGGCCGCAGGACACACAAATAAATACACACGAATGACAATATGTCTCATATTTTCCATGCTTTCTGGGTTATTCTCTTCCCCCCCACTTCCCATAGTTTCCAATATTTTTTGCGGAATCGACGATGAATTGCGTCTGTGTTTTTACCAAACAGGGAAGACTGATAGGTTTCTAGTGGTCTCAAAAGAGAGCATCATGACTCCCCAGGGGTGTCTGGGCAGATGCTGGACGGGTGCCGCGGGAATCGGGGGACTCCTTTTTTAGCCAACAGTAACGCACTTCGTGGTCTTCGAGTTCCCAGAACTCCATTCCTGGGCATGATTTTGAATACCCGGAGCCAGCTGTAGGCCACTTCGTGTTCTTCGAGTTCCCATAACTCCATTCCTGGGCATGATTTTGAATGCCCGGAGCAAACTGTAGGCCACTTCGTGGTCTTCGAGTTCCCAGAACTCCATTCCTGAACATGATGAATTTGGGAAGACTGGAGCCAACTGTAGGCCACTTCGTCTAGTCTGGTCTCCATAACTCCATCTGGGCAGATGCTGTGGCATGATTTTGAATGCCCAGAGCCGGAGCCACTGTAGAGTTCCCATAACTCCATTCCTGGGCATGATTTTGAATGCCCGGAGCAAACTGTAGGCCACTTCGTGGTCTTCGAGTTCCCAGAACTCCATTCCTCATGATTTTGAATGCCTGGAGCCAACTGTAGGCCACTTCGTGGTCTCCGAGTTCCCATAACTCCATTCCTGGGCATGATTTTGAATGCCCAGAGCCAACTGTAGGCCACTTCGTGTTCTTCGAGTTCCCAGAACTCTTCTCCCGGGCCAAGTTTTGAATGCTGAGGCAGGCTGATGATGAGGCTGAGGCAGGCTGAGGCTGAGGCAGGCTCAGGCTGAGGCCGAGGCTGAAGGCAGACTGAGGCTGAGGCTGAAGCAGGCTGAGGCTGAGGCTGAGGCAGGCTGAGGCTGAGGCTGAGGCAGGCTGATGCTGAGGCAGGCTGAGGCTGAGGCTGAGGCTGAGGCTGCAGGCTGAGGCTGAGGCAGGCTGAGGCTGAGGCCTGAGGCTGAAGGCAGAGGCTGAGGCTGAGGCTGAGGCTGAGGCTGAGGCTGAGGCAGGCTGAGGCTGAGGCAGGCTGATGCTGAGGCAGGCTGAGGCTGAGGCTGAGGCTGAGGCTGAGGCTGAGGCAGGCTGAGGCTGAGGAAGGCTGAGGCTGAGGCCGAGGCTGAAGGCAGAGTGATGCTGAGGCTGAAGCAGGCTGAGGCTGAGGCTGAGGCAGGCTGAGGCTGAGGCTGAGGCAGGCTGATGCTGAGGCAGGCTGAGGCTGAGGCTGAGGCTGATGCAGGCTGAGGCTGAGGCAGGAGGCTGAGGCCGAGGCTGAAGGCAGACTGAGGCTGAGGCTGAAGCAGCTGAGGCTGAGGCTGAGGCAGGCTGAGGCTGAGGCTGAGGCAGGCTGATGCTGAGGCAGGCTGAGGCTGAGGCTGAGGCTGATGCAGGCTGAGGCTGAGGCAGGCTGAGGCTGAGGCCGAGGCTGAAGGCAGACTGAGGCTGAGGCTGAAGCAGGCTGAGGCTGAGGCTGAGGCTGAGGCTGAGGCTGAGGCAGGCTGAGGCTGAGGCAGGCTGAGGCTGAGGCTGAGGCTGATGCAGGCTGAGGCTGAGGCAGGCTGAGGCTGAGGCCGAGGCTGAAGGCAGACTGAGGCTGAGGCTGAAGCAGGCTGAGGCTGAGGCTGAGGCAGGCTGAGGCTGAGGCAGGCTGAGGCTGAGGCTGAGGCTGAGGCTGAGGCTGAGGCTGATGCAGGCTGAGGCTGAGGCAGGCTGAGGCTGAGGCCGAGGCTGAAGGCAGACTGAGGCTGAGGCTGAAGCAGGCTGAGGCTGAGGCTGAGGCAGGCTGAGGCTGAGGCAGGCTGAGGCTGAGGCTGAGGCAGGCTGAGGCTGAGGCTGTGACTGCGACTGCCGTTGCCACTGCGACTGTCATCGCGAATGCGACTAAGACTGCGAGAACAGCAGAATTCTACAACTGGATTCTCATCTGAATCTTGAGGGGAATGCTTCCAGATATGCTCCTACACATCGCTGTTAGGTTGCTTTGCCGGGATATTTGTCCCTCCTGACGAATGCGACCCCCCGAGGCATACCCCCCCCTGTCGCAGGGCATCCGTGGAAGCGCCCACGAGGCGCTCACGGAGTCCCAGGGCGAGGAGGTTCTGGCTAGACAGTGAGAACCCAAACAGGACGCCCTCTCCCGTCCTCCAGGGCCCCGTTTCCCAGGGCGAGGAGGCTCTGGCTAGACAATGAGAACCCAAACAGGACGCCCTTCCCTGTCCTCCAGGGCCCCGTTTCCCAGGGCTCCAGCTTCGAATCCCCCGGAACAGGTCCAACCTCCGAGGGCCACGGAAAAGATTCGAGGGCGCGCCAGGACGAAGAGACTGCACGGCAGGTTCGTGTCGTGCCAAATTCGGATTTGGACTTTGACGACGCGTGGTCCGCTCAACCTTGAACGATCGTTGGGCTGGTGGTGATACGCACCAGTTTCAAGAATACATGTTTTTGCTCCTCCTGCCGCGCGTCGTCTGATCCCCACCAGTCACCGCCCCGCACGGCCGTGGCCGCACCCAACAGGGCCACTCTGGCAGCAAGCACACACGAAGTATACCACTTAGGGGGGGACCGGCTCAGTGGGGGATGCATCGAGCTGGAATCGGCGGTACATCGCCGACAGATCGGCGATGTGCCTCAGACAGCGAATCCGCGCGCTCCTGGGCAGGGTGGGCGGGTGGGCAGTCGGGCCCCGTGTCGGCGATCAATGGGCGACTGGGGATCCACGCAACCAGCCCTGAGTCTCCCCCCCCCCTAACGTTGCTCATTGTGGTTTATGATGTATATAACTCGGCTGTGCGGCGGCCGTTCGGGACGATTCAGGCACCTCCACAACGCCCTCGGCGAGGCGCAGCCGCTGGAGAGCACCCCGAGCTTAGAGAGCTGACGAGCACAGACGAAGACGCACGATAACATCGAATACGCCCGAAACCTCGAACGCCTATCCCCCCTGCCGTTGCACTCAATTCGCCGGCCCAACTGGCCAAGGGCGTGCTAAGATCTCCTGCAACTGGTTTTGAGGGATGAATAAACGACCCTACCCTGGGTTGCAACTGCGTGGTCTGTAAACCTCCTGGGAACCCCCTAAAGCCTAGAGCCGCCAGGACGCGGCACATCACGCAGGGTTTTCCCTGTCAGCCCACAGGAGTGTCAGCGCACAACACCTCGTAAACCAGGGTAGGGGCGTTTTTTTTTTTTTTTTTTTTTTTTTTTTTTTTTTTTTTTTTTTGTATGTATGTGTATATATTTATATTTATATATTATATATATATATATATTATATATATATATATATATCTATATATATATATATATATATATATTAAAAGTACTTGATGGTTAACAATATTTCTAATTCGCGCGCGCGGGGCCGCCCTGGGGGTCCCAGGACGAAAATACTTGGGCGAGGTCCCGGGCATGTCACCGCCAAAATCCCGGGCAGATCCCAGCCAGCTCCCAGCAGGCCCCCAAGAGCGCTCCAGGAACGCTGAGAATGGCTTCCAAGAGAGCTCAGCATGGTCCGAGACAGTCCAGGAGCGATCCAAGACGCCAGCGATGGCCTCCACCAGATAGCCCACAACGCCATCAAAACGTCCCTAAGAGGCCTCCAAGAGAACTCCCAAAAGGGCCCACATAACCAGAAATTTGTGATTTCCCATCCTGACATGTTGGGTCCTCGTTTTGAAAAGACAGCGCCCCGCGTTCTTTCCTCCCGCTGCCCCCGCTCCCTCTCCCCATCGTCAGCACCATCGGCACTATCATCACCATCGCCCATCATCCATCAACATCATCATCTGCAGCATCATCCTCATTCACATCCTCCTCCTCCTCATCCTCATCATCATCATCATCATCACCATCATCGTCCCCAACACTCATGTCGGCACACCCCTCACACGTTTCGTGGCCCCATAAGGAGCTCCAATTAAGGTCCCAGTGGCGCAGTTCGCATGACGGCGCCGCCCCATTTTGGCACACCCCTCACACGTTCCGTGGCATCATAAGGAGCTCCTCCTAAACTCCCAGTGGCGCAGCTCGCATGGCGCAGCCGCCTCATTGTGGCGCACCCCATCGCATGTTTCGTGGCCCCATAGGGAGCTCCTCGTAATGTCCCAATGGCGCAGCTCGCATGGCAGCGCCGCCCCATTTCGGCACACCCATCACGCGCTTCGTGGCCCAAAAGGGAGATCCTCCCGAGGTCGCAATGGCGCGGCTCGAACGGCGCCGCCGCCCCATTTTTGCAATCCTCACACTCTTTGTGGCCTCGTAGGGAGCTCCAAGTAAGGTCCCAGCGGCGCGGCTGGCATGGCGGCGCCGCCCAATATGAGCACA